CCACGGCTGCTGCAAACTCCCTGTAGGACTCGCTAAGCTAAAATTCAAACTTTGCTTCACAGTTTCGTTTCGAGACAAAAGTGTTTATCCTAGCTGCGACTAAATTGAACCTAATCAGAATGTAGCACTCGGCATACTTAATTAAACGAACTTTGTACCAATTTCATCACGCCTCTCGTTTATCTTAATCCATGTGTTTCCTCAAAAAAACGACAATAGCTGATTAAGTTTAGAAGAGAAAGAAGTGCAAAGGAAAGGAAGTGGGGAATTTCATTCGGCAGTCTGAAATTGCAAAGCTAAGGTGATTAAAGGTGCCGTCTTTGTGATGCAAATGAGATTCCTTTTGAAGATTATCCTTCGTTTGGCAAAAGACACCTCTGCTTTGAGTGGGAGACCGTCAGAAAAGGTCCTACCGGTGTCATTGGCAATCTGGGAAAATGGATAAGTTTCACTTCCTTTTCAGTCCAGAGCAAAAAAAAGCTTGCCGCCCAAAGCTCAGATTTAGTGAGATGTTTCTTTTATGGTACAGGTGTAGCTGTCTATCTGATCAGGGATTCGGCTAGGCAGTGATGACATTTCAGAGACAGCGTTACTCCGAATGACCCGGGCTCTGATTTACTGACTGAGAACGTAATTAAGCTTCGCTCCATTCCCGAATCCCAGAGCTCGTCTGAGCTGCTAATTGGCATGAATTAGCTGTGAACAGAGGGAGTTTCTATCCACTCCCCACTTTTTCTCTCACTCTTTTCTTTTTTTTTACGTTCCCACTCTCGTCTAACTCACATTAAAGGACCCGGAGAGGGCCCACTTGAATTGGCTCCACAGTCTAATGGTCTGCCAGGTTCCTGACATCGGCAGTGAATATTAGTACAGACTTTTTAATCAAGAGACTCTCGGGCTGCCGCCCATTGCTAAAAGTACATGTACCAAAACATCTGGCCTGCCAGCTGCGCTTGTATGCCCCGCTCGTAATGAAATGTCTGATTTTCTGATCCATTAGTCCAAATCTATACACATTTAGAAGCTCATGCGTCCTGCATATTGTCCGATACGCTCTTCAAACACCAACAGGGATGCAGATTACTCTGACAATGGACATTCGGAAACACAATATCTGACTTTAAATGACTTTTAGTTGTAAATCGAATAAAATATACATTTATACATAAAATATATACAATATTAATTATAAAATAATAATAAATGCAAAACTTAATTGTGTTAATTTATTTAAATTTTAAATCTGTTTATAAAATTAGACTTTTTTATTTATATTTAATTTGTGTAAAATCCATTTACATTCTCTCTCTCTCTCTCTCTCTCTCTCTCTCTCTCTCTCTCTCTCTCTCTCTCTCTCTCTCTCTCTCTCTCTCTCTCTCTCTCTCTCTCTCTATATATATATATATATATATATATACATATACACACACACACAATATATACATATATATACACTACCGTTCAAAAGTTTGGGGTCAGTGAGAATTTTATTTTTATTTTTTGGAGGAAAGAAATCAATACTTTTATTTATCAAGGACAGTAAAGACATTTATAATGTTACAAAAGATTATATTTCAAACAAAATGCTGTTCTTCTGAACTTCCTATTCATCAAAGAATCCAAAAAAAAAAAAAAAAACTGTACAACTGACAGACCAACAACTGTTTCAACATTGATAATAATAATAAATGTTTCTTGAGCATCAAATCCTCATATTATACTGATTTGTGAAGGATCATTTGACACTGAAGACACTGACACTGGTGATGCTGAAAATGCTGCTTTGATCACAGGAATAAATTACACTTTACTATATATTCACACAGAAAACAGCTGATTTACACTGGAATAATATTTAATACTATAACTGATTTTTGTTGTATTTTTAATCAAATAAGCGCAGCCATGGTTAGCAGAAGAGAATTCTTTTAAAAGTATTTAAAATCGTACCGACCCCAAACTTTTGAACGGTAGTGTATATATATATATATATATATATATATATATATATACATACACAGTATATTTATACATAAATATCTATATATATATATATATATATATATATATAGTGTGTGTATTTATTTATTATTATTAATATTATATATATCAATACAGTGTCTTTTTTAGTACATAAACCGATTTTTCTAGAAACAGTTTGTTATTCTTTTGAGAGACCAAGGCTGTTCCACACACTACTGTTTTGAAAGAAGACAGCAAAGTGGATCTAACCAGCACAGTGAGAGACATGGACGTTCCAGAAGCACAACAAGACAAGGAGTACATCAGAGTCTCTAGTCTGAGAAACAGACCCCTGACTGGTGCTTGGCTGGCAGCTTCATTGAACAGTACAAACTAAACATCAACAGTCAGGAGAAGACTCAGAAATTTTTTGGGCAGACTGCCAGAGAATATCTAACACTGACACATAAGAAAAAAAAAAACTGTTATTGAGCAAAATAACAAAAATTGGATAGTAAACAATTATGGATGGATAACTCTAAGGTCTTGTTAGTCAATCCTGTCTTACTGAGAAAGAATAGGGCTGTTCTCATCTGTCCACCTGCTAGCTGCCACAGGTCCTGTCTGTTTTATTTGAGCTACAAGTCCTATTTTGACTGGGAATAAGAGATAAAACTTAATAAAATGTCTCCCTCAAGAGCTGACATTCTCCTATCAGACATTTTTCCTCAACCATTAGCTCTTTCTGAAAAAAAAAAAAAAAAAACCTCTTACTTTCAGAACCTTTAGAGGTGCAGTCCATGGTCAAGAGTAATTCGGCACCCTGTCCTTTATTAAAGGGCTGCCAGACCTCCCGGAACGTTCACAAATGTCACCGCGTTAGAATCACTCTACTTTGACTAAATCCCATCTGCCAGTATCGCTAATATTACCAAGTTTGGCCTGTACAACATGACTGTTTGCTCAGCTAGCTAAGTACCAAACCAAGTCCTTTTAAAGGGGTCATATAATGGTACATGCACTTTTACAAGTTGATTGTACTGAAATGTGTGTTGGCAGTGCCTGTACACAAACATCATATAATGATAAAAATCCATCCAGTGTTTTTGTTTTAATCTCCTTATATGTTTTCCCCTGCCTCAAATCGAGCCGTTCGTTTTTGTGACGTCAATAAAACGGACGCCCCTCCCACGATTGTTGATTGACGGGAGCGTTTCAACACAGACCCGCCCTCGCACATGAGGTAGCTGTCAATCATAGTCTGCGCGGCGCGGACCGGACCGGCGCGGTCATTGTGGATGTGCCGGAGCACTGTCTATGAGCAGAATGGCGTCTAAGCGATTGTGGTGTTCTGTTCTTGGGTGTAATAATGAACACAGTCATTTTAATGTTCCTGAATCCGAACCGCTGAAGACGCAGTGGCTGAGTTTGTTTTCGAAGGGAATATTCCCCACGAGCAACGTCAATGCTTTCATGTTTGCGCGAATCATTTCACACACCAGACTGCTTTATAAACGAGGGTCAGTATAAAGCTGGATTTGCTAAGAAGCTTTGCTAAAAAGGATCGGTACCAGATATTCGTGTTCCTGCTGAACCTCCAGAAGAACGGAAGTGAGTGAAACGTTTTATTAAACTTTATATTAATATATTAATCTTTGCAAATCGCTAGCTGCACGCTTCACAATGAATGCGTCTAAGGTTTACACTCAGTCAGGGCACATTACGGCATGTTTTCTATGTATGACGTTCTCAATATAACTCATAATTCCACGTTTATACTGAACAACGCGTTATGGTTATTGTGTTACAAACGGTGTATGCACAGAACAGAGGGGCGGAGTGAGCGCAGCTCATGATAATTTAAAGTCATATACACTGAAACGGCGTGCTGAAAACAGAGCTGTTTTTGACCAGGTAAAATAAGTGTTTTCTTACAATACTAATGAGAATTTTTAAACAAAGTATATTACAAACTTTTAATTTAGACCCTAAAGAATCATATTAGCTTGTACAAAAATGGCATTATATGACCCCTTTAAGGCAAGCCAGTTCACTCAGTGGCCATCTTGGGTAATGTCCCCAGGTATCTATTTTCTTTATATTTTCTAGCTACTTCCTATACAATTGTACAGTTTGTCAAGATCATTTTGCATTAACAAATATCAAATTAGCAATATAATCACAATGCATATTTGTTCCATCTGCTTCTTATACTGTACCTGGTACCAAACCAGGCAAAAACTAAAGTAAAAAAAAAAGTAAAAAAAAAAACCTTCTGGAAGTTAATTCTCAGGGAAGCTAATACGCAGGTATCTAGGCTACGATCCGAAAACCGCATGTGGCTAAATAAGCAGGTTAATGAATGATTATTAAACTTGTAGATGGGGCGAGGATGAGTAGATAATGAATACCTGGGAAAACGAGGGATGGTCCTTCAGACAGCATCATTAGAGAAGAGGATGGCTGTGGGAAAGCCAGATGGAGAATGCCAGGGGATAAAAAGAAGGTCAGATTTAAGCTAGGCGCTTGCAGCTAATCTGATTAAAAATGGAGTGTGGTATGTTTCAGCCACATGAAAGGGATAGTTCACCCAAAAATGAAAATTCTGTCATTTACTCACCCTCAAGTTGTTCTAAATCTGTATGAGTTTCTTTGTTTTGTTGAGAGCAAAAGAAGATATTTTGAAGAAGGTGTGTAACCAAACAGTTGCTGTTTCCCATTGACTTCCATAGTATGAAAAATAAGTACTATGTAAGTCAATAGGGACCAGAAACTATTTGGTTGCCAACAATATCTTCTTTTGTGTTCATCAGAACAAAGAAACTCATACAGATTTAGAACAACTTGATGACAGAACTTAATCAAGTTGGAGAACTATCCCTTTAAAACGTTACATTGTATGAATATGTGGAAGCCTATAATACTCTTCTCCATCACTTGATCATCATTAGTGAATGAGATGGCGATCTTTGCACTAAAATTCGGCACGAAAAAGTGGCACAACCGCTTCGTGAACCCTTTCATCTGAAATGGCTAACCTTGTAGATGCCCTGATTACAGCCGTTGTAAGTGCTTTCCATGGTGTAGCTTCGGAGAACACCGATCTCCCTCCAAACGACCACCCGCGCTGTGGACGCCCGAGACTTCTCCACCAGATAGTTGCAGTTGTTGAAGGAGAACGCAGGTGCAATTCTGTCCAGAGTTTTTGCGATGGTCTGTCAATACAAACAATGCATACGGTTTGAAAAAGTATCATGCATTTCATTGTATTTGCATTTTTATTCCACTGTTTTTAGTTCTAGTTTTGTGTATTTTTAGTTAAAAAGACTATTTTGCATATATGGCAGACATCAGACAGACAGCAGCCAGCGATGCCATATTTGTATTATTTTACATACGCATTTACATGCCTATCCTTTCACTCAATTCGTCACAGCCTGTATGTTGGGGAGAAACTTCCTTGGGCACTAAACTGTTATTGAGAGATCTCACTCAGTTTTGTAACATTGACAAATCAACTTTGTTTCAGATGTTTCTCCTAAAATAGGAGTAATACAAATAAAAACAAATGAGAATGAACGTACAATACGATAGAGTTGTGAAATTAATGTGGATAACATATACCATCGTTCAAAAGTTTGGGGTCAGTAAGACTTTTTTTTTTTACTTTAATATTTGTATTCATCAAAAATGGATTTATTTGATCACAAGTGACAGTAAAGACATTTATAATGTTACAAAACATGAAAAACAAAACATTCCACAAAAATAAAGCAGCACAACTGTTTTCATTATTAATAATAAGAAATGTTTCTAAAAAAAAATCTGCATAATAAGATGATTTATAAAGGATCATGTGACACTGAAGACTAGAGTAATGGCTGCTTGTCATCACAGGAATAAATTACTTTTTAGATACATTTTTATATAAATATTTCACAATATTACTGGTTTACTGTATACATGATCAAATAAATTCAGGCTTGGTGAACATTAGAGACTGTTTAGAGACATAGTTTGAGACATTATTTAGACTTGGGTCTGTTTGAAAATCTGCTGAGCAATGTGACGCAAATCACAGCCAATCAGAACATATTATGAATATTATGTTTAATATCCTCTTGGACAATGAGATTTTTCTATGGGCAGAACCAAGCGCAATGACATGGTAACAAAAACCAAGCAATGTACAAAAATCGTCAAGGGTCAAAAACAAAAATTCACCACTTTCTCCCTTTTTATCTTATTATCATCAAGGAGAAACATTTGAGATATTAAAGATGATCTCATGTATGAATGTCTTTGTTATAGGCAGTGAGTGTACCCTGTATCCCGGGTCTTCTTTTAGGGAGGCCGTGTTAATGGGAGATCCAGACTGCCACAGGGTTTCCTTCATACTGCAGCCGTACAGAAACACATTCTTCTTCCTGGAGTGACCGTGGTAATCGCAAAACACCTGTGGGATGTGATAACACAGCAGTTTTTCAAAAGACATAGAGCGAAAATGGCAAGATTGTGTTGTATTTGTGCGTCTGTGTGCGTGAATAACAGCCAAGGACAAGGAGGTCAAACATCAGGTGGAAACAAAACGTCTTTTTTTAGCTTTCCTGACACGACAGCAACACGGCGTTAACTTTAGGCCGAGCGAAACATAATTAATCTTGTGACAAGACACACATATGCGTACGATGAGGGGAATAAAACGCAAGACAATGCATTGAGTTTAGACTCTAATTCAAATTTGGTCTCTTGTTACCGCTAATTGGTTGACAGTGCATAGCGATGCATGTCAGCTTTTTGTAAAGGCTCCACAAGAGGACTCCATCCTCATTCATTAACTGCACAAGTCACATTTTTTTCCATTGTAGGTTTTGGAGAAATGACAACGTTCCTTTGACCAGTTACGCTGCATAATTATTACTGTGATCAATTATGAATTGTGGCATAATTGATATGTAAATCTGGCTAATTGTGTCAGAATATTCGCTAATGTTCTCCGCAAAAGGTCAGTACCACTCAATTACAGGCCTGCCAATGGTCGTTTCTGAATGATTTTTATTCACTTAATTGCATAATTTATTTTAAGATAAATATTTTAACATTCCATCAGTTCCAAACCGTTATTTAATTTAATTTTTTTGGCAAGCATCAGTTTGGGTTGTACTGGAATGTTACTTGACCATCTTTAATAGTGTATTCTCTCTAAAGTGTTGGCGAACCTACTTCTGTTGCTTTGTTTTTCCCCCCTGACTTCCCCCCTAAGAAGCTTCTTTTGAAAAAGGACAGGGGGTGGAAAGGGACGGAGGTAAAGATAGATGCTATTCTATAGTGCTTTAACAGCATCAGAAGAACCTCAAAGGAACTGGACAAGACTATGAATAGACCTGACTAAAAATAAAAAAAGCTCTTAATTTTGTTAGGAGACATGAACTAGAGGTCATCTAAAACTCCGTGAATCTTTCTGCAATATAGATAGTTATGGCAGTAGGTGGCAGCGACGACTGTCTTTATTAGTAAGACATTCAAAAACTTTATGAGTGTATTATGACATAATTTACTCAACTGATTCACTCAAAATGCAGATTCCTTCAGGAACAAAACAAGTGACTCTTTATGAGTGAATCATTGAATCCTTTAATCAAATGAATGATTTCAAAGATTCATTCTGGAAAGAAACAAGTGACATTTATAATTTATACAACTGATTTGCTCAAAATGCTGATTACTCCATGTGTTCCAATTTGCATTCTATACACACAAAATAGTACACTGGATTATCAATCTTGAATATTATATAGGGCAGATAGTATACAATTGAGGAAAAAGGGACTGTCTTTATGAGCTGTTTAATCATCTACTTAACTGATTCTTTCAAAAAGCTGTTTCATCCGGGATTCGTTCAAAACCTTTTTAAGTCGAACACACCAATTGTCTTCATGAGTGTGTGATTGAATCCTTTCATGAAGTGATTCATTCAAAAACATTCATTCATTCAGGAACAAAACAAGTGACTGTCTGTATGAGTGAGTCACTGAATCCTTTACTCAACTAATTTAATTCAAAAACACTAAATAATTTATGCAGTTCGAGAATTATAGAAATATACCCCTGTCCGTCGTCTTGTCATTGAATTATTACATAATTTGACAGCCCTAGTTTCAATTTATCAGTTGGCTGAGGACTCTTAAACTAAATTAACTAAATTTAAAACTAAATCTTTGTAAGTGAGGAGCAATGGTTATATATCTATTCAGGGCCGTGCACAGGGGGGTGGCCCGGTGGCTAGAGCCACTGCCCTTCTGCCCTCATCAGCTGAGGTGCCCCTCTCGCCCCCTCCCTAACCCTCCAGAGAATTTCCATAAAAACGTTATGTTATAGCTCCAGAATTTTCGCACGTTAAAAAATAAATACGACCTCACGTTATGTCAATCACACTTGCACACTGCCTCCGAAACTTTCGTCCGTCATAAAAAAATCTAATTGGGTAAAAATCTAATCGAACCGTAGCCAGCAGTTTGAATGGAGTTTGAATGGTGTTTTGACAATTCAGAGCCAACGAATCCCGAATACGAAAAAACGCAGTGTGCAATGGCCCTTATTCTGTATTTTTTTCTGTGCGTACACACACACACACACACACACACACACACACACACACACACACACAACCCGACGCGTGCAGCCCTGCACATAGACAGAGCAGCGCGCAAGGACTGAACTGAGCTCTCTTTCGCGTCTGAATGGACAAATACACATCATTATGTCTAAATGTCCGTTTTGGAGATTATTCACTTAAACGCAGTCAGTTATGTCTTTACAGAACGTACAGTTGTGAGAATATCGGATGTGCATCAGTGCAATTGGATCTGCACACTCGGTCTTAAAGTGACAGTGCGTAATAAACCTAATGCCGTCTGTGCACTTAATATTAATCAAACAACAAAATAAAAAGAGAAAAGCATTCACTGCTCTTTAATAGCTTTAATAAGGATTAATTAGATTTAATTCAGACAAATAAATATGTCTGCTTGAAAGAATAAAGAATGATGTATGTAAGACTTTAATTTTAAGATATTATTTTATGTCACAGTGCTAAATATGTGTCTGTATTGCATGTTCAAACTTTAAAAATTATTAATATTATCAGGTTAATAGATGTTTTCTACGGGAATATATAATGGGTTTGGACATTTTAGAGAAATTCTAAATTAATGCATTACAATTTAACACTGAACCCATTAAATTTTAGTCGACTAAATCTACTGTAGATTTAGTCGACTAAAACCTTATTGTATTTCGTTGACTAAAACTAAAACAATTCAGATGACTAAAATATGACTAAAACTAAATGGCATTTTAGTCAAAAGACTAAGACTAAATCAAAATTTGCTGTCAAAATTAACACTGATCTAAATAAATAGTAACTTAGTATATTAGCTAGGTTACAATGGGGCTAAAGGAACACCCTAACATTTGCTTTTCACATATGATTGCAGAAAAATATATGTTTGAAAATTGATGGAGCAACAGATTTTGTGTGAAAATAAATCATAAAGGTGGTTTGTTAGTTTAAAAATCGTATTAATGTATGAGGTGGCAAGGAGGTAGCCTACACACGGGGTAAAACCAGCACAAAAGACACATAGTATTGATACAAATACTTTAGCTAAATTAATATACTTTTAATAATCCCTAAGTTGATAGTTTATACGTCAAACTCAAATTGGGGGAGGGGAGGGGGGTTGGGTCACCATCTTGTATGTTGTCAGTCAAACTCCTTATAGTGCCCCCTTTTTTGGTTTAAGCCACTGTCCTTCAAAATGTCTGTGCACGGCCCTGTATCTATTCTACTCTTCTTAAAAAAAAATCTTAATTAGTCACACATTTAAGTCAGTCTTTCTGACATGATTTCATCACTTGCAATACAGTTCATTTAATTAATTTCATTTTAATTCATTTCTGATCAACACTGAAGTGCTTAGATCCACAGAGGCCTCCTTCTTCAGTCTGTATGGTCTAATAACCAAATCGGTCGTACCAAACACACATCTATGGATTTGGTCGCCCCTGACCTGCATTTAGAAGCGGAAAGCTTCAAGATCATGGAGCAATTTCCGGCGGGCCCCTCATGGAACTTTAGGACTCAATAGGTCAGTTACAGTGCAGTGATATTTAATGGAAACTTACCAGCGGAGTCCTGCCTATGCTGTTGAGGTAATAGAGGAAGCCTTTGGTGTGGTAAATTGTGGGGCTCAAATTAGGGTCCGGCTTCAGCCACTGTCTGTTGAGATCCTCAGCGGTGAGAGAACAGCGATTACTGAAATAAATGAAAAGAAGAGAGATTACAAAAGAACAGAAAGCCAACTTCAAACTAACTAAAAGTCCTATTTGGATTTCATGAGCACTTTAACACTTTTCCATGGATCAAAGAAACATCAAAAACCATCTGAATTTGCAATCCAATATCTGATTCAGCGTACCTGTCTGTTTTAAGACAAGATAACCAATCTGACTCTCTCTGTGCTTGTCTGTGTACCTGTGTAAACATTAAAACCAGTGCAATTGTGACGTTCCCATATCAGCGTCTTCCTTTACAGGTTACTGAAAGGTCGCCGGTGAACAGAGCTATCTAGCGCACCACACAACCAGTCTGTTGATTATAGAGCGAGCAGCAGCTGAGCTTTATCTCCAGACAAAATCCTACTGGCATTTGGAGGCAGCTTGCCAACTATAGACTCCCCCACATTCATTTCCTGAAAGCCAATTATAAGACACAATGTTCAAACATTAACAAATTGATAGGCCGCGTTTGAAATGGCTGAGCGAGACTGTTGCTCTCTGATCACAGGTGCCCCGTGTGGCGTGTGATGATTTCTCTGCATCGTTCTTGATCTGTAATGAGCTGAAGCATGTAATATTTTAGTAAAACACAATCGGCACCTGAAAATAAATATTTTGCATCAAAACATTCTGTGGTTGTTTTCCTCAGACATTGATAATGGTTGCGCAAAAACAAAAGATGGAAGCTGCATTTTTATTTATTTTTTGCCTCTGAACAGTTTGTTCAAACAGACTTTTTCTAAGGATATCAGCGATTAAACTAAGATGCTGTTAGATGTATTAGAAATTAAAGGAAGAACAGAATCGCATGACTATAAATACAACCCTCTGAAAAGCTGTGGCTCGCTGCTGAATAAGTTTGAGCAAAAAGCCAGAATCTCCAGAGACTTTCATGGTAAACAAAAATGCCATATTCGAGGGGTCTGGAGACAAGGAAATGACTGTATTTTGTAGGCGACAAAGCACGGTTGTTCAGGCAAGTTTCCAAAGTACCCCAGGGGGCAGCAAAGTGGAAACGGCAAGAAAATTGTTCCTCCCAACAGCTGTCTATAGTTTAAAGTGAACCTACGTAGAAAAAACACACACACAAAAATAGATCAACATTACCTGTCTGTCTGTTCAAGCCACGTTTACACTAGGCGATTTCTGACTCGGATTTCCAACTCATTGTGTCATTATGTATCAATTGCCTGATATTTAGATCGTAAATATTTGATTAACCAAACTGAGGCTTTTGGAATGAACGACATCAAGGAATTTCATGTTTTTCCCTCTCTTTTTTTTGGGGCACCAGGAATAATTTATGAACACTTCTCTGCTCTTGCGTCTGATGACAACTGAGAGGTGGAACAGTATTTTGTCCCCTTTTATGGTTCTCCGAAAACTGACAGCTCCTCTAACACATCCTGCTTTTAAAATGTCTACTTCTCAATATTTCACCTAGTGCACTGCAGTGCATGACACATTCTGCAGTAGCCCAAAGCAACCCTGGTCTCAAAGGCCAAATATAATTCAAACACAATAGTTCCAGGTTTACTATTTAAAATAAATAAAAAATGACATCATCCAATACCAATTAACAAATGAACAGAATGTCTAATGACCACCGCAAAACACAATATCCCACAATATCCATTTGGACTAAAAAAATACATATGTAAAATAACGCGATCATCAACATTAAACGGCATATAAATCAAAACTGCCAAACGTTACAGAATGAAATGTCGACCCAGGACAAGCTATTGGGCCCTATTTTAACGATCTAAAACGCAAGTGTCAAGCGCAAAGCGCAAGTAACTTTGTGGGCGGGTCTTGGGCGCTGTTGCTATTTTCCCGGCGGGATAAATGACTCTTGCGCCAGGCGCAAATCTAAAAGGGGTTGGTCTGAATTAGCTTTATTATTGATAGGTGTGGTTTGGGCGTAACGTGAAATAAACCAATCAGAGCGTCTTCTCACATTCCCTTTAAGAGCAGGCGCGCTTGTTCGAAAGCGGATTCCTATTATAACGGCGGATTTGCCAGGAGCGGTTCACAGCCGAGGAGAGCAACGTTCTCGTCAGGGCCGTAAAACAAAGAGAATTGACATTGGGGATGGAGAAACCCACCCAAATGAACTTCTGTTAAACAGGCGTATGATAATTTGGGTAAATGTGTAAGCTACATGTATGCTTTTATAATAAATTGTCTATCTATCTATCTATCTATCTATCTATCTATCTATCTATCTATCTATCTATCTATCTATCTATCTATCTATCTATCTATCTATCTATCTATCTATCTATCGTAATAATGTATGATTTGCAAAAATGAAAACTGCTGCTTAGTTGAGAGAATCAAAGTGTATGCGCGTTGTGCACACACTACATTGATTATGGCCAAGCATGCGCCCTTAAAATAGCATAATGAACAACGCGCAACGCGCCACTGACTAGTTTTTTCTGGTCAGTGGCGCAATTGTTTTATGGAACAGCAAAATAGCAAAAGGGATTGTTTGCGCCGGAAAACGCCTCCTTTTTTGCGCTGAACCGCCCAGGGAGCGCAAGTTCATTTCCTAGTTTATTCCTAGTTTATTTCCTTCATTTCTAGTTTAGCGACGTGTGTCTGTGGAGGGAAAATCGTGCTTTGCGCGGGTGCAAAATAGGAATGATACATGCGTCGGTGTACAAAGTCAATTGCGCTGGGTGCAAGATAGGGCCCATAGTAGTGTGCAAGCTTTGGGGGTGTTGATGGACTCAGTCTACTCCATCTTTGTTTTCATCATCATTCTGAGTCTGATCTAGATGTAGTCATTGACAAAAACGCAATTTTCTCAGCTTTTTGCTGAATATTTTGCTTTTTTTTAATAAAACTTATCCATATTCAAGTGTTGATAAAAAAGAATGCATGAAGATAGAATAAAACAGTTTCTGTGTGTTTAAAAGCAGAGGGTCAGTTCTTTCGTTTGATAGATTGCATGTTCAGATGTTCATACAACAAAATATTTTGAGGACCATGACATTTTTGTGAAAATGATCAAACTTTAACAAAAAATGGTGGTGGGGAAGGAGTTAAGTACATTAATTCATAAACGAGTTCATAAACGAACAAGTGCTTCATCAAATACTAATTAACCCATGTAGTATAGGCAGTTGACTATCAAAAACAAAGCACCTAATGTAATTTGACTCCACCCACCTAAAAACTTTAGGCAATATTGGTTCCCAAGGTGCTTATCAAATAGTAACTAACCCATGTAGTATAAGCATTCGACTCCAACTCAAAAACAAAATACTTAATGGTAATTTGACTCCACCCACATGAAAACAAAACACCCAGTGGACATTTTACTCCACCCACCTTAAAAACTGAATGCCCAATTATCATTTGCTCTTCGCCCACCTCAAAAACTCTTGACTCAACTCGACCTCACAAACGAAATACCCACGGGCCATTTGCTTCCACCAACATCAAAAACATCCAATCAAATGCCTCCTGACTCATTGACAAAAGCAAACACATTACGCTTCAGCATGCAAATGCTAACTGCTCTAGAAACATTTATTTCACAGCGGGCAAGAGCTAGTTAAGACTTTAATTAAGGATACTGTTGTTCAAGTGTATACGGATTATAATACAATCATCGTTTATACAGTTTATGATCCAAAAAGTTATAATGAAGCCATTAACTCAAGTCACTCCCCCTTTATAATCACCCGCTGAAAAATAGAAAAGCATTTGATGCTCACTGAGATAAGAAATGACAAAACAGTGGGAGTTTTTGGAGAGAAAACTGCATCTCATACATTTGGTCACATTAACTATTTATAAGAATATGAAGTGGCTGACAATGAGAGGAATCAACGCAAGTATCACCTCAGAGAGGAAGTGATGTAGCTGTAGTGATCTGTTGACCAGACACATCACTTCATCCAGAGATGAGTTACAATTCACGCTCAGTTTAGCTACAACACAGATAAATAATAGAAGGAGGGGAATTATCAAAGCCTCATCTCGCTCTTCCAGTCACATCCGTCCAATACTGATCTATTTTATGGGTCTAACTGCTAAGCATTATGCAGTGCGATATAGATCTTGTATAATTTGCTTATGATTGATTTGGTAACCATTAGGAAAGGACACAAAAACGATTCCTTGTGCCACCTGATGCAACAATAATCTCAGAAATCGATAAGCAATCCTGGAGTTACTTAAATTGTATGATTGTTGTTGTGCAGCACTTCCCACCCAGAGTGCCGTTTTTAAATACAATATACGTTAATGTGTCTTCTATATATCTATATATGTGTGTGTGTTTTAGTTAATAAACACACACACACACTACTCCATTATCAGACTGTTATAATACTGACATCGTCTTGGGGTGACCGTAAAGTGAAAGACGCTTCCTCTCAGCCGACACTAACCCTTTGAACTCACACACACTATTATACTGCACACACACAGACACTTCCTGATCAACTTACTGAAGCAGGACAGTTCAATTTACTCTCATGGTTACAGATAGATCAGTTGGATCAGTCTCGATAGCTTTTCGTCGCCTCGGCTAATGAGGTTATATCCTCGTTTTCTACTCAAATCTCCATCAGCTGGAGATGGGCACAATCAGTGACGTTTAGTCGAGCGAGAAGTAAAAGGAAAAGATATCAAAGATGGCAGTGTTGTGAACTGACTATTTCCAGAAAAAAAGGATACTATGGATGTTTTTGAGCCAATTACTAAGGTCATCATGGCTGATTGGTGGATGGTACCATAAGAATGTACACACTACAGAGCCTTTAACTAGCTAATATAGCTAATATTTGTCAGAATTTACAATCTAGCCAATATATATATATATACATATATATATATATATATATATATATATATATATATATATACATACACACACTCACCTAAAGGATTATTAGGAACACCATACTAATACTGTGTTTGACCCCCTTTCGCCTTTAGAACTGCCTTAATTCTACG